AGAGACAGAGAGAGACAGAGAGAGAGAGAGAGAGAAGAGAGGACAAGGTAAAAATAGCATGAGGCTATGTCCTAACAAAATGTCTGTCCTTGGGAAAGAGGCAGGTAGAGAAAAGCAGTAAGCCATTATAAAGGCAGAAATTAGTTCCATGAGCAGAGCAATGGGAGCATCATTCATCAGCTAAATTTTGTTAATGAATTCACGTAACGGGCCCAGTGGCCAGCGAGTCACAACATAACTATGTGTTGGGTAGTGTGATCAAATAATCTGAAGTATTCATACAATCTTAATCACACGTCATTGAGTGAACCACATTATTTCCCCCCTAATCCCTTTACAGGTTAAATTGCTGCCATAAACACAAATAAAATAAAATAAAACAAACTCAGAATACACATAAGTCTCTGAAATTCTTTTGAGTTTAAGATATGGTAAGATGTAAAAATACATTACTCAAATTGAGGGACAAGGTTTTTTAGTATAAATAAACTTTATTTAATGTATCAATAGTTAGTTGAGATTCTTCCTCACAGTATTAGGCTCCTATTTTTGAAGATATTTTACATTTCAACTGAATAATTTAAAGAAAAATGTGTGCAATTCTGTAATTTATCTGCAACAACTCCTTTAAAGAACCCTACGCAAAAAACATTTAAAAATTTGTTTAAATCCAATTTCCCTCAATTCCATATTGATGTAATTCAGTTTTACTTGAAGATTCACACTTTCAAATCCATTTAAAACTGAAATGTAGTGAATAGCAATTTTTCCTGCTCATCTTAAAATGGGATCTGTGCTATTTTTGAAAATCTGATATGTAAGACTGATCACTGTGAAAATGTATGTCATCTTGAGATGACTATATTTAGTATCAACAAAGGAATGCATTATCTAGGTTTTTGAAAGGTCTTTTTCCCCTGAAATTACACTTGTAGTATTTAGGCTAGGGTTTCATTTGTGAACAAAATGAAAACCAAATATGTATATTTGGGAGAGATTAATCAGGGACTTAAGATTGCTTAGAGCCCAAGTAGCCTGAAATGACATACTTCATTTAAGGGGAAAAAAACCCAAACCTGCTGTTATCTTTGAAACACCCTATAGGCAAATGAAAGTATTGTTTAAATAAAATTATATGCCTACAATAAAGAAAACAATGCAGTAAATATAGAAAAGTATGTAACAGATGCACAGATATCTAAAAGGTTTTACAAAAGAGAACTCAGTACATTTTAAAGTATGTAGGCCATACACACACACAAAAACCATGTTGGTAGTCTATTATTTAGAGGGAAAATGACCTACAACAGTCTTAACAATTTCACATATTTCGGTTCTTATTTAATCAATCTGTGGTCTACATCACCTGTGTAGTTTCTTTCATGTTCTCTTTTTTCTAGTTGTATAATTGCAAAATTATATAATATTTACATATACTTGGAATTATTATTTTCTTTTTCTATTTAAAAGTGGTATACTTTCTATACTCTAGGATGGGTAGATCTTTACCCAGAAACCCAACTTATTTAAGTTTTAGTCAAATTTGTTTTTTAATTATAGAGTTAATAGAGCCATTTTTATGGTTAAAAATTATGGACAATGGAAAAGGGGCTGCCAAATTCTGACATGCCTACTCTTAGTATTTGTATATAGTTCCCTCTTTTCCTTATGTATAGCATTTTTTCCCCTTGCATTGCCATATCCCAGTGAAACTACATATGTGAAAGCATCTCATGCAGTATCTTCCATCTAGTACGTTTCAATACTGGTTCTTACCCCTCCCCCACTTTTGTTCCTTCATGTCATCTCTTCCTTTTTGCTCTCAGATTGGAAGACAGGTAGATTGGGGCTCCCTAGGTGAGGTTTTGAGGTTGGTGAAGTTTAACTTCTTCCTTCCTTTCTGTGCCTCTTTCCTGTCCTTTCCTCCCCTTTGACGCTGCCTCCTCCTTTCTGACCATAGGCCTCCCCTTGTCTCCATTTTCTCAGTGCTCCCTGTTTATTTAGATCAGGGGCCACAAATTGGCAGCCAAAAAGCCACTTTCAGCCACAGACATGCTTTAAAATTGGTACATTTTATATTAAAATATGGATTTCCAACCTGTCTTGAAAAATTGGAAGATTTTTGGCAAAACTGAGTCCACATAACTGCATAGCAACAATACCCTGGAACTAAGTAGTGGCTCCCGCCTGAGATAGGATGCCATTCCCCATTGTTTTACACTAGTCATCACTCATTTACATTACCTGTTAATCATATTACATAACAATAACTTACATTACCTGACACTAGATACTTGAGTACACAGTCCCCTGGTCCAAGTATTAGGGCAAGTGTGAAGTCATGATATGATGGGAAGTCTGCCGGACTTGGCACTAGTAACCTAAACTTTATAAATGCTGTTGATATATTTAGGCTAGCAATCCTTCTCTTAAATAATGTGATCATAGGAACGGGAAGAAGTTCACATTCGTTGACAGTAATTGCTACTGTCATTTTGAACTGCAAGGGACCATGTATCACTAACTAAAATAAAATATTTTAACTAGTAGGATTTTAGAAAGCATGGGGGAGATATTTTTGGAAAAGAACTCTTTCCTAGGAACTCCTTCCTCATCCCGGAATAGTTCAGGAGAGCTTTTGCGACCCCTAGAGGTCCGCCATAAAGGGGAGTTGCTTACTATTCTGCCTCTCCACTCCTCCTACTTGTTTTAGAGGCCTGGGTCTTCCTATTATCAGCTGTGTCCTTCATTGAAAGGCCATCTTACACTTGCAGAGAGGGTGAGGAGGCCTAGTCTCCCCCAGAGGTGACCACAGTCATTTGCTTGGGAAGCCAACTTCCTGAAACCCTAACTTTCTGATTTTTCATGATGTCTAGTTTAATGTAAACTCACTCCATTTTATTTTATTTTATATTTCATTCATTCATTCATTCATTCATCCTCATCATAGGCCCTCCTTTTGGAGATATCAATCATAAGTTTTATTTGTGCTAATTTTGGCTCACTTTTCTTGTTATCTCTTTGTCATTCATCCACTCGCTCAAATATGAATTGAGTTTGTACTGTGTCCTAATTATTGTGTGAGATGCTAAGAATAAAGAACGGAGTAGGGCAGTTTTTACCTTCCAGGGGCACAGAGGATGGCGAAGGCTCTTTGAAAAAGATCACATACAGTCATATGAATGCAAAGTATTACATATTATTAAAACAGAAGAATGTCAAGACAGGTTGAAAATAAGATTCTTGGTTATCAGTAAGGAATTGTGTATCAGTAAGAAAAAAAATCACTATGTCAAATAGGTAGAATAGGATCTAATTTCATATTTTTGGAATGTGATGAGGTTTATGATAGATTTTTATAATATAATTTTTAAAATATAAGGTTACAACCTTCAATAGTTAAATGTAATAAAGTTACATTATATTTAAGTTTGTTTCTTTTACAAGTGAAAAATGATAAAAAATTTACTCACATATTATCACACTCAAAACAATGTTGTTGCTTGTTCCAAAGACTGTAAAGAGGTAGGTTTTAACACTTGTAGTGTATATAGCTAAGTGTTCTGTCTAAAACCTTCTTAAAAGTTGAGACTAAGAATTTACTTGAGTTTAATGAAATGCAGATTTAAAGCTGTCACTGTCTTGACAATCCTGTCCTCGTTGAAGAAGCAGATAATACATTAACACAATGAAACAGTCATCGTAAATGATAGAGCTATGATTTAAAATTCTTTTCTTGATTCCTGCATTATTTGCTATCTTGAAATATTTCAACTGCATTATTAAAAAAGTCAAGGAAATTAATTAAATTTAGAAAATTTAGAGGTCAAACAGAGGTCTTAGTAAGTTCTGTAACAGGAACATTAGCATGCATATTTTAAGATAAATCTATTGTACTTAATATTATATTCTACTATGAGGCTTACATATTGTCTCATAGCTTGAGCTTCGTACCTTAGTATTCAACCTGGAAATTATTTTATAACAGCCCCAGAGTATATTCTATTCTTTTTTTTTTTTAATTTTCACACATTTATATATTG